AGTAATACTATACATTACAATAATTAACAGCTTAATTATTTAAATATTTTTTTAATAATATATGTTATTTGCCATGTCCCAATTTATGTGGCATTAATTGATAGATTTGTTGGAGTCGAGAGATTTATTTTGTTAATTATTGTAATTTATAGTTTCTTTTTCGTCAATTTCAAACAATATATGTTGTTAATTGATAGATTTTTTGGAGTAGGCCTTTTTTTTATTATTAATTATTGTAATTTATTGTTTCTTTTTCGTCAATTTCAAACAATATATGTTGTTAATTGATAGATTTTTTGGAGTAGGCCTTTTTTTTATTATTAATTATTGTAATTTATTGTTTCTTTTTCGTCAATTTCAAACAATATATGTTGTTAATTGATAGATTTTTTGGAGTAGGCCTTTTTTTTATTATTAATTATTGTAATTTATTGTTTCTTTTTCGTCAATTTCAAACAATATATGTTGTTAATTGATAGATTTTTTGGAGTAGGCCTTTTTTTTATTATTAATTATTGTAATTTATTGTTTCTTTTTCGTCAATTTCAAACAATATATGTTGTTAATTGATAGATTTTTTGGAGTAGGCCTTTTTTTTATTATTAATTATTGTAATTTATTGTTTCTTTTTCGTCAATTTCAAACAATATATGTTTATCATATAATCCATTTTATGTGGTACCAATAGAATTTAGAGAGTCAATTAAATTTTTTATATAAGTTTTAAATAATTAAGCTGTTAATTATTGTAATGTATAGTATTACTTATATTATTTTTAAATATATTTAAATATTATATGTTAGGTTTTTTATCCTAATTTATATGGCATTGATAGAATTTAAAGTGTCAAATAATTGTTAATTATTGTAATAGATAATATGGAGTATTTAAGTCATTTATAGTATAGTAATTAATATATAATATGTAGTATTTAAGTGTTATATTATGGAATTTGAGAAGTTATTGAAATTTTTATATGATTTTAAAAATATTTTAAATTGTTAGCTATTGTGATTTGTAGTACTTTTTTTTAACATAATTTTGAAAGTAATATTTATTACTCTATTTGTTCTAATTTATGTGGCACATGCAGAATTTCAAATATTAACCATTTTTTATATGTCTCTTTAATATATTAAGTTGTTAATTATTGTATTTTATAGTACATTTTGAACCTAATTTTTTAATAATATATGTTATTTGCCATGTCCCAATTTATGTGGCATTAATTGATAGATTTGTTGGAGTCGAGAGATTTATTTTGTTAATTATTGTAATTTATAATTTGTTTTTCGTCAATTTCGTCAACAATTTTTTTTATTAATTATTGTAATTTATTGTTTCTTTTTCGTCAATTTCAAACAATATATGTTTATCATATAATCCATTTTATGTGGTACCAATAGAATTTAGAGAGTCAATTAAATTTTTTATATAAGTTTTAAATAATTAAGCTGTTAATTATTGTAATGTATAGTATTACTTATATTATTTTTAAATATATTTAAATATTATATGTTAGGTTTTTTATCCTAATTTATATGGCATTGATAGAATTTAAAGTGTCAAATAATTGTTAATTATTGTAATAGATAATATGGAGTATTTAAGTCATTTATAGTATAGTATAATTAATATATAATATGTAGTATTTAAGTGTTATATTATGGAATTTGAGAAGTTATTGAAATTTTTATATGATTTTAAAAATATTTTAAATTGTTAGCTATTGTGATTTGTAGTACTTTTTTTTAACATAATTTTGAAAAAAATATTTATTACTCTGTTATAAATCATAATAAATAGTACAATATTTAAACTACTTTAAAAGCATTATAAATTGTAATAAATAATACAACAATTTAAATTACTTATTACTTAAAATTTAACTACTTAATTTTTTTTTTTTAAATGTATTAAAATTTTGGTTAATTGTCAAAACTTTACATGTGCCACATAAATTGGGACATGGAGAGTCACACATATTTTTTAAAAAAAAATACATTAAAAGTATTCTATCAATTAACAACATATATTGCTGAAATTGACGGGAAAAAAATATAAATTACAATAATTAACAAAATAAATCTCCCCGACTCCAACAAATCTATCAATTAAATGTCACATTAAATTGGGACATGGCAAATTAACATATTATTATTAAAAATTTAGGTTCTAAAATATACAATAAAATACAATAATTAACAACTTAATATATTAAAAAGACATATAAAAAATGCTTAATATTTAAAATTTTGCGTGTGCCACATAAATTAGAACAAACAGAGTAATAAATATTTTTTTCTAAATTATGTTAAAAAAAAGTACTACAAATCACAATAGCTAAAAATTTAAAATATTTTTAAAAATCAGATAAAAATTTCAATAACTTCTCAAATTCCATAATATGACATAAATTAAAATAAAAAATAATATATATTTGGGCCCCGTGCTGGCACGGGATCCTATATCTAGTATATATATATATGATATGATTAGGAGTGGGGTCATTTTATTTTTGCATTCTTATAACAAAGTTATATATATTCCTCGTTATACTATTTGGATAGATTTATTCTTATTAAAAAAAACTGTCAAAGAAAACCTAACACATATTCCAGCTAAGTATGCCCCCGTTAGAATATGAATCTTCGGTTATACATGTTGGAACAAAGCTTTCTACGGTCTCATTTATCGAATTTAAAATGATGTGCTTTTTAATTAGTAATTAGCTAAGTTGAGTATAATATTGGATGGGTAGAAGAATTAAATTGATGCAAATTTTAATCGAGATAAAAATATATCAATGTAAACATCATATAGACTATACAAAGAATAATAAAAATGGTGATATGAGACTTAATAGTCTAAGGGAAAAATTGTACTTAATGTTGGATAACAAGGACAAAATATATCAAAAAAATAAATATAAATTCAACTCATAATCACGCAATCTAAATTATCTTACCCACGAAAAATCAACACCATCAAATATTTTAACCTATTATATATTGAACTATGAAGGTCTTACCATGTGGCAACTCACATCAAATACAATTACTTCCTCATCATGGTAGATTAACTATAGTCTACTAATTAAGTTGTACAAGCAATACCTTCCAAATTATCAAACCTTTGTTGCTATAATTGGAACTCAATTTCAAATCAAAATCAAACGTGTAACCTTAGATAGTGGCTTATAATTTATCAATACATAAGTAACTGTGTTCTTTAAAAACAAAAGGAATCATTCACCATAAATCATGGTGAAAAAAATATAAGTGAAGTTGCAGATGTTTTGACATATATTACCGTTCAAAGATTTTTTGTTAGAGACAAGTAGCTTCTTGATGCATTGGTATGGTTTAATATTTTATAATTGACTTCTCTTACACCTATTTACACTTACAATTATAAGTTGATGGTAATAGTATTTTTTTTTCTCCAAATAGATTTGCTAACCTACAAGATGAGGATATCTTTGAAGGATGTGGGAAAGATGTAATGTTGAATCATTGTTATAAAAATGCAGTTAGCTGGGGATGCAAATATTTCTCTTGTGCAACAGTTCATTAATAACAAAAAGAATAAAGAATAATTGGGATGGTAGGGTGAATGATGAGTTTGTTTTAAGGCACCTACAAATTCGATTGATAAATCAGAATCATATGACAGTATCAACAACTTTAATAAGATTCAATAAATTCATGAACAAGTGTTGAACTATCAAGTGTTTTAAGACAAGAGGAAACTACATATGGTACCTTAGACGAGTCATGTATTTTTTTAGTTCATACATTTGTAAAAGGGACGTTGAGGTTGACGACTTAACTTTCTTCTTGACTTTTACATTTTTGTATTACTTAAGCATCTTCATTTGTAATATAATTATAATGTGTATTATAAATTTTGTGATAACCATAAAATACTTAATTCTCACTTGTGCTTCTTTTCTTCATACTTATTAATTAGTAGAGGTTTGTTACCTTACTAAAATTGTTAAGATAAGACCTAGTCCCCCTTATTCGTACTTATCTCTGTTGAATTTTTTAATTTTTATTATCAATAAAAAATTGCTAGACACACTATCTAGTGGTATAAACTCACTAAAATAATAATTCTACATCAGTATTCTTTTTTTTTCCCATTATCATTGAACAATAAATTTATCAATGAATTTAAGAATAGTTGATAAGTTACACTTTTAAATTCTAATAGCATAAATGTTAACATATGAAGAAATAAAGATAGTATTAATATATTATATATGTAATTAGATATTATACCTCATCAGCTAACATAAACATATCTTCTTTTAAACTTAAACTTAAATTATCATGCCACACTGTATAGGATATCTTTTTCAATTATTTCGTTCATAGAGGCCATACCTAACTCCCAACCTTGTTGTTATTGCTGATCAATTCAAGAATAAAAATCCCCCCCCCCCCCCCCCCCCCGCGCCG